GAGTTTCTGCTCCTGGGTGGTTTTCATGTGACTTGGCTTTGCCTTCCTTTGTCTCTGGTTCTCTTGGTTGCATGTTTAACATTATATATATATATATCTTCCCAGAATCCTATCTCATTAATATAATGAAACCTATTTACAAATTCTATGTCAACTACAGATAAGGTATTAGGATTTAGAACACATATTCTTGGGAGACACAATTTTGACTGTTTGATTGAGTTTGATAAAGCTAATAAGCCTGTTGGATGGGATAGTGGGTGAATGGGGAGGACAACCTTCCACTGGGAAAAGATGCTAAACAATAATTGTAGGGAACCTAAGAACAATCCCGATCTTTGGTCCGGGGTAGACACTATGAATGTGTTTTTACCCAGCCCTTGGTGAACCATGCAATGAACTAAGCACCATGATGACCGTAGATGCTGGCCTTACAGGGAACATGGCATCTTCCAAAGGCCACACCAGAAGGACTTGGCATGGAAGCACGAACTAAACAAACTGGGCCTTACCTCAAAACTACCTGTACTCTTGGACTTAGGACTAAAACACCTTTATGGGAGAGAAAGCAAAAGATGACCACCCCAAGACTATGGAAATGGTGGTCATTGAACCTTGGGGGGGACCCCTGGCTTAGTGAGTGTGTAATGAAGGAGGCCCAGAACCACCATATATTTAATACTTTGGTGCTCCCCCTGCATTAATATGAAAGGTTTTATCCTGAATGAAGGCTCTGTCCTCTGATAAATGATACAGGAAAATTTCCCCTAGCACCAACCCCCATGCTCAATGTAAACAGAGCTCATTCACTTAAGAATTCAATCTGTACAAAGCAACAACTCATGGATTTCAGCTCAAAGTTAGACTATACTCGCATGCATAACCTCATATCAACAGCATCTTAAACTCTATGTCATTGGATAAATTAATTTTTACCAAATTCAATCACCTTATACCGTAGGGGGATGATTGACAATGTTTTTCCTTTTGGTTTCTTTTGTGGGATTCAGCCCCACAGTCCAACAGGTCCATAGGAATGGCATGTGCAATTAAAGAAAATAAGACAGACAAACAAGCAAGGCACAGGTCTCCTCTCTGATGTTGGAATAAGAGGGTGAGCTTATTTAACAATGAGCATATATAGTAGCGAAGTGCACAAGCCTCCAAGCAGGCACATACAAAGTAGAACGGGAGCAACTTAAATTTGGATGTTGCCTAAGCTCATTGGGGGAACACCCTATGATAAGTATCAAAAGGCGTCAAAGGGAACAAAATACGCTGATTGCTTTTAAAGTTAGTTATTCTCAAGGCGCTTAGTAAGCAGCCAGGTGCTTGTTAAGGAACATTTTTATAGTAGCCTTTTTATGTAGGGATATTGTGGGAACATCTTTCCACCAGGAAAATGTGTATTTGACATTATCTCCCTTAACTGTGGAGATCTTTCTCCAACACTGGAGCTGGTCTTCCAAGCTCCTGGTTACAAGTGTGGGGATTAGGCTGCATACACTCCCTTCCATGTCTTCAGTTTTCCATTTTTTGTTTGTTTGTTTGATTTTGTTGTTGTTCTTGTTGGTTCTAGTTTTTATACTATGACCACCAAAGTCATCCAGAATTGTTCATAACCCGGGGACAAGCAGATGAATTCTGGGCTCCCACAAAATTCTGGCCTCAATCCAAGAACAGTTAGTACTTCTGGCATGGCCCTGCTCCATACTGTACTTGCCTTCATGAAACAATCATTGAAGATAATCGTGCTACAGCAAAGTGTGGGAAGAAAGGCAGATGGTGCAAAAGTATCAATTGGAATAGTGCCTGGGGCCTTAAAGGTTTGTATGCAAACAGCTATCTAAGTGAGGAGTCAACTAAGTCCACATAGAAGAACCACACCAACTGTATGATCCAAAGATGACAATAACAAAATCCAAGTATGACTAAGGGAAAAATACAGAGCTTAAATTGTGAACATTCAATTTGTAGAAGACTATGGAGGGTGGTGGAAACCGAAAACCCATCTACAAAGTATCTAGTTAGATTAAGCCTCTGGCAGTTCCCTTCTAGCCACAAGGGAGGGACTTGACGAGCTTTACAAGCAGGCAGAGATTATTGTAATTTGATTATGGTGGATCGAGTTGACCCAACTTAAATTTGTTCCAGGCTCAAATATTCCTCAATTGTTCCATGACAGAAATGTCTTTTCTGGCATTTAAAATATTGTTGGTGTTTTTTTTATTACTCTTTATTTTTGTGTTTGTAGTATTATTGTTTTCTCCTTGTTTCATTTTATTTTTGTTGTTTCTGTAAGGTTTCCTGGTTTATGGAGCACAGAAGAAGTGGATGCACAGTGACAGTAACTGATGCCATGGTTTATCAGGAACTGGCAGGTCAGGGGAATTGAGGAGCAATCAATGAATGTGGGAGAGGGATGGAGTACTAGAACTGATTGTGATGATGTATATATAAGTCTTTAAATGCTACTTAACTATGAAAATGTATGATACATGAATATTAAATCAAGAAAACACTAAATAAGCCAACAAACTTGACCTATGGCTACCACGTGTGAAGGAAGAAGAGATTTTGCTTAGGGGGCATTGAATTTATTTTAATTGCAGTGTAACAATTTGGAATGGGTTATTAATAATGACTGTACAACATGAAGAGTATAATCAATGGCACTGAGCTATACATGTAGAAGTTGTTGAATTGGAGAATGCCTTGTTGTGATATTTTTGCCAGAATTGAAAAAAAAAATTACATGGACAACAATAAGAAAATGTTCTATAATTGACAGTGGCAAAGTATAACTCATCTTGTTATGATTGAACTATTGAATTATATGATCTGTGGATGACATGCCAATAACACTATTTATGAATAAATAAATAAAACCAATAAACCAAACTCATTTCTATTGACCTGATTCCAACAGGACTAAATAGAACTGCTCCATAAGGTTCTTGAGGCTAAAAGTCTTTCTGAAGCGGATTGCCTCACCTTTTTTCTATGGACTCAAACCACCTTTTAGTTAACAGCTCAGTGTTGAACCTACTGCATCAGAGTGCCTAAACTCCAAACTCAGAGTCGTTGACGCAGTTCTGACTCCTAGCTCACTACAGGACAGGGCTTCCAAAACTTAACTTTTGATGGGAGTAGAAAACTCCATCTTTTTCCTGCAGAGCAGCTGGTGGTTTTGAACTACTGATTTTGCAGCTAACAGACCAACAAAAGAATAGCATTTTAATTTCATCTGTAGAAGGTTTTGCTCCCAAATGTGTGGTGATAAGTTGTTGATACTGTGTATTTCATCTATTGTCAACATGAGTCATACACAGCCTTCATGAAATTGTTTCCCCCACTCAAGGGCCCTGGTGGTACAGTGGTTACACATCGGGCTGTGATCCACAGGGTCAGAAGTTGAAAACCACTGGCAGCTCCTCTAGGGAAAGACTGGGCTTTCTACTCCAGTAAATTGTTTCTCCCATAAGCATGACTTAGAATTTAAAGAGACATTTTCTTTCCCCTTAAAAGAAAGAATTTATGTATAATAAAAAATCACTTCAAGCCATGAATTAATTATCTTTTAAGGCATAGCAAGGTGAATTTGGGGTACCTTTCAGAAGAACCATTCTGTATGAGCTTTAATTCTTGTATTTTCAATGTGAAATTATAAATCCAAATGGTTAGAAACACTTATCAGTTATTTTTTAATGTCTTTGAAAAGCCAAGCTGAGAAATCCTTAATTTCAGTTGAGTCAGTTCTCGCTCCGGGACATTTCGTTATCAATTGCATAAAGTAACAAGAACATAAATATATAAACTTTTGTCTTTGGAGCCTTCCAAGATTCATATTCGTTCTACAAACACTGCTTAGCACACACATCCTAAAGAACTATGCAACTGTAGTCCACCGGCTCCCTCCCAAAGACTGTAGTATCTCAAGTCTCAATAAGTTGCTTTAAAAGGACAAATGAGATCAAAGGTGTCAAGTGGTAGTGCTGGAAATACCACATTCCAAGTACTGAAAAAGCATTCATTCCCTCTCTCCATTCTATGCACAATATAAGGCACACCAGAAAGTATTAAAACTAAGTTACCTGTCCGCTTATGTCCTCAGGCAACCCACATAACCACTCTCTGCTTTGATTCCTCGTTGTTATCAAATGAATCACCTCCCTGCCCATCCAAAAAAAGAAAGAAAGAAAAGAAATGTTAAAGTTCTGCCTCTGAGCTTTTAAATATGATCGTTTGGAGATAGGGGATTTCTTCTGTTAACAAAAGTATACCAGAGTAGGATGGGTCCTAAAACTAAGCTAAGTGGTGTCTTATTTAAAAGAGCAGAACAGGCACAGAGACACACAGACAGTGGGAAGACAGAGACCACGTGAGGACGCAACAAAAGAATGTCTCTCTGGGGCAGCTTTGCCGACATGCTCAAAATAAGAAAACAGCACTTATCCCTTGAAAAGAGACCAGGCAGGCTGAAGTAACAAGTTCTGCTACTCACAAAGAGGAGAAAAGTATGGAGAAGGCAGTTACTGAGAAGTAACCAAAAATGGACAGCAGCAGCTGACAGGACACTCCCCACTTCAGCACAGCCGCAAGCTGTTTTCGCCCTGTTGTCGGAGCACAGTTCAAGGAACGCTAATGCGCAGGTCACTAGGCGGCATCGCAACGTCTTCTGGGGGTTGTAGTCCAGTGTCGTGGGCACGTGGGTAGGGGAGAACAATTTCTGAGTGCGCCGTTTTTGGAATCAGATTTCTTCTAGGAAGAGTTGGAAAGAACTATGCTCTAGGGCTTTATAACACAGAAGAGTATTTCTTCCTCTTGAGCCAGGTGCTTACACACCGCCTCCCACTCCTGCCCCGGCCCCGCCCCTCCGCTCTCCCGTCCCGCTTGTCAGAGCTCGTGGGCGGGGTTTCCTCGTGGGCGGGGTTTCCTCAGGGGCGGGGCTCGCATCGAGCTCCTGCTAGGCGTGGCGTCCGCCGGCTCCTCTGCTGCGCGCGCTCGGATCCCGCGCTTCCGAGGCTCGCAAAGCCGCGAGTGGCCTCTGAATTGGGTGGCCGGCAGGCGCATGAGGGCCCTCTCCATGGACCGGGCGGCAGTGGCGAGGGTGGGCGCGGTGGCGAGCGCCGCCAGCTTGTGTGCCCTGGTGGCGGGGGTGCTGCTGGCCCAGTACATATTCACCTTGAAGAGGAAGACAGGGCGGAAGACCAAGATCGTCGAGATGGTGAGTGCGGAGGACCGGCGGGCCCCGAGCGCGTGCGGGTCTGGGGGCCGCCGAGCGGCCTTCCCTTCCCACCCTTCCCGCGCCGCTGTGTGGACGGGAGGCAGAGCCGGTGGCGTCGCGGGTCGTGCGGGGTCGCGTGCGCGAGGGGCGCCTGCCTTGGGGGTCGGTTGTGGTGGGAGGCCTAGCGGAATCCGTGATCGGGTCTGCATCCTCCCGGAGGGCGCTGGGGTTCCAGTCGCCTTTGTTGTGTCTCTGTTTGAAAGAGCCTGATGACAAATAGATGATTCGGAAACTACCTTTACCTTTGCGCTGCAAAACCCGTTTCTCAAGTGATGCCCTCCCACCCCCACCCCAACTCACCTGTCCCGAGTCAAACCGCTGCAAATAATCAGATTTCCCACACTGCCTCTTTTTTATTTTTGACAGCACGGCAGAGATGAGGTAGATTGTTAGAAGATGTAGTTTCATCAGAGCTTAAAAGAGAATGCCAGCCAGCCAGTGGGAGTGCAAAATCGTTTATCTTTTTGTTAATGCCTTCTCAGCCCAATCTGCCAAGAAGTATCTTTGCGTTCATTTACTTCCGAAGATCGTGCATAACATTATTTTAGAATACCTTGGTTTCTATTAAACTGAAAGAGTGAACTTCAAATTTCCTATTTGCGGTACAGTGTAAGTAAGTTGTTTTTCCAGAGTTTGGGAATGTTTGGTTTAGTTTTAGCTTACTCAGGGACTTGCATCCTCCTGTATTTACTGCATGTGTCACCCTGGGTATATCGTGAATGCTGTGCTACATAGATGGCCATCTGGGGTCAAATACTGGAGAAAGGTATAAATTGAAAATCTGCCACTGTACTGCATAATAATATTTTAGGTTCTCGTATCTGGATCCTATCTTCAAATTAATCCATGATTACTTATTCTGTTGATTACTTTTGATTGACTATAGGAATGCAAGTATATTAACATTTTTTTAAAAGAGTAACTCACATATCTCATACTAAAAAAATATTCCTACGTATTTATAAACTCATAAACCTTTACTAAAGATAAATAGCAAAGTGTGGAGCTACTGATTGACATATCCCCCATCTACTCTATCCACTTTTTAAAGTGAGGTTACCGTTGCTATAACCATTCCTTGAAGAATTCTATACTTTTTCATTTATATCATATTAAAATGCCAGTTTTCAAGGAACTCAAGTAATGATCCTTTTCCATGTTCTCTGAGTTTGGGGGAAAAAAGGAGTCAGAAGGTGCAAGATGAAGTCCAGGGGTTGGATGGGGTATGAGCACTGGGTACATTGTTGTGATTGAAAAAAATCCGTGCCACAATTTTCCTGGACTTTTTCTGCCAATGAGGGTTTTAGTGTTCTTAAAGTTTCTCCTGATAATCCCGTGTCCTTTGAGAAAATTGACCAAGGTGACACCGTTTAAGGATTCCAAAAAACATTCACCATAATTTTGAGTTAACCCCTCTGCCTTAACTGGCCAGTAGATCTCCTTGGAAGCCACTGTACTTATTGGGCCTCTCTTTTGAAGGCATGCTAAGCAGACGGAGGGGGCCCTGGTCGGTATAGTGGTTATGTCTCGGTGGGCAGTTTGAAACCACCAGCAGCTGCACTGGAGAAAAACAAGGCTTTCTACTCTGTAAAGAGTTACCATCTCAGAAACCCACAGGAGCAGATCTACTCTGTCCTACCAGGTCACTATGATTTGTAATTGGCTCAATGATGGTGATTTTCATTTTAGTGAGTTAATGATCATAGAATCATTTTGGCCACTGAAAAAGAATGAGTTCCCATCAGAAAGACTAGCCTTACTTATTCCTATAATACTTTAATTCCGATTCTTAAATATTTGCAGCCTGCTAAACTAAAAAGCCCACTATCAAGTCACTGCCTGCTATAGAGACTTTATATAGAGTTTCCAAGACTGTCAGTCTTCCATGAACAGATAGTCTCATCTTTTCCCTTTGAGCAGTTGGTGAGTTTGAACCCCGACCTTGCAGTTTGCAGTCCAATGCTTACCCCACAGTGCCACCAGTGCAGCCTGATCCAAACTCCAAACTCACTGTCCTTGAGTTGATTCCAATGCATAGTGACCCTGTAGGACAGGATAGAATGCCCCTGTGGGTTTCCAAGATTGTAACTCTCTTCAGGAGTAGAAAGCCTTGTCTTTCTCCCTCCAAGTGGTAGTTGGTACAAACTACTGACTGTTTAGCAACACACCTCATAACCACTATGCCACCAGGCCTCCTCCTAGTAGTTTTTCAATGGAAACAGTGGAAACAACTTTGTATATTTTCTGTTTAAATATTTTAATAGATTGCAGCAAGTGGGAGAAGCATTTACTTGAGAATCAGAAGATTGGGTTCACACCCTCACTTCATCTCTTTATAAGAGCCCGTTTCAGGGACCTCACTGTGCCTTATCCCCCCATCCCCTACCTTAGAGAATTGGTGTAGGTCCATTAATATCTATTAGGCATCGCACACACTGGTCACAGCTAATGGAACTAGAGATGACAACCTTACCTCCAGGTGTTACCTATCCAGAGATGGCGAGGGACATAAATGACTTCTGGACTTCGCTCAAAACAAAACCTGTCTTTCAAGAGTTATTAATTAATAGACACAGAAGTGACAATGGTGTTGCTAGTGGAGTGCAGATGCCAGAGCTGAAATATGTCTTAAAACCAAACCAAGCTCAATGCCAATTAGTTGATTCCGACTCAGAGCAATGCTATAGGAAAGGGTAGAACTGCCTCTGAGAGTTTCCGAGACTGTAACTATTTGCAGGAGTAGAAGTCTTTCTGCTGAAGAGCAGCTAAGGTTTTTGAACTGTGGACCTTGCGGATCACAGCCAAATTGGTAACCACTAAGCCATCAGGATTCCTGTAATATGTACAGGAGCAAGGTAAATATATCCCCACTCTGCTTATCAACATGGCTGGATTCCAAAACGAAATTGTTATACAAAAATTGGCGTTATGTGAAAATGTGAGACTAGCATTACTTTCATTTCACACTTCGGCATTCAATACAGCCAGACATGTCATTCATACGTAAAACAGTTGGTTAGCAGGATTACCCTGTCATGCTTGAGAAATGTCAGGTGATGAGAGAGAGATGAGAGCTGTATAGAGAAAACAGGCTGCAGAACACTGGAGACAGGAAGAGCTGGTTCAAAGTTGATATATATGCCTTTCCTCCAGCCTCTAGTGTTCATCCTTTTGTGTGTTCCCTGAGCCACCCTCTCCTGAAGGGAACTCTTTGGGTAGATTTTCCTTTTGCACAACCACACTCTTCTTAAGGGCTGAGTATAGTACTAATGAACTTTTCGTGGTCCATAGATTTTCCTTTCAAATAAACTTTCTAACAATAGATTTTACTTTTATTTATTTTTATTAGTTGGGATTTAATACATATCCATACTATTCCATATTTCAGGCATGTCAAGTAGAATTGTACAATTGCTACTACAATCAGTTTCCAACCATTTGTTTTCTACTCGGACCCATTGACATTGTCTCCCTTTCAGATTTTACTTTTGAACAGGCTTTTTAAAACTAAAAAGTTATAGAATTATGGAAAAATTGTCAAAATAGATCCAATTTCCCCTATTACCTGCATATTATGAAATGATACAGTTGTTATAATTATATAGCCAATGTGGAGATGTCATTATTGAATCAGTTTATACTTTTTTTCAGATTTCCTCAGTTTCCACCTAAAGTTCTTTGTCCCAAGTCCCTGTCCAGAATAACACATGCCCTTCAGTTGTCATGTTTCCTGAGCTTCTCTGGGCTGTAACAGTTGTCAGATTACCGTTGTTTTTATATTTTTAGGAGTCCTTTTTTATGTGCATTGTAGAATATCCCCCTGTGAAAATTTGATCTTTTTCTAATGATTAGCGAGTTAGGGATTGAGGGGAGGAACACCATAGAGGTAAAGTGTCATTCCTTTCACTTTGCATCAAGAATACACACTGTCTGATCACGAGGTGTCAAAGGGATAAGGCCCCAGGCATCAAAGAACAAAAAATCACATCATTGTGAATGAGGGGGAGTGTGGAGTGGGAACCCAAAGTCCATCTGTAGACAACTGAACATCCCGTTATGGAAGGGTCGCAGGGAGGAGACGAGCCAGTCAGGGTGTAGTGTAGCAACGATGAAACATAAAACTTTAATCTAGTTCCTAAATGCTTCCTCCCCACCCACTATCATGATCCCAATTCCACCTTACAAATTTGGCTAGACCAGAGGATGTACACTGGTCCAGATAGGAACTGGAAACACAGGGAATCCAGGACAGATGATCCCTTCAGGACCACTGGTGAAAGTAGTGATACCAGGAGTGTGGAATAGAAAGGGGGAACCAATTATAAGGATCTACATATAACCTCCTCCCGGAGGCATGGACAACAGAAAAGTGGGTGAAGGGAGATGTCGGACAGAGTAAGATAAGACAAAACAGTAATTTATAAATTACCAAGGGTTCATGAGGGAGGAGGGAGCAGGGAGTGAGGGGGGGAAATGAGGAGCTGATGCCAGGGGCTTATGTGGAGAGCAAATGTTTTGAGAATGATGAGCGTAACGAATGTACAAATGTACTTTATACATTGGATGTATGTATGGATTGTGATAAGAGTTGTATGCGCCCCCAATAAAATGATTTAAAAAAAAAAAATAATACACACTGACAATTTGACTTAATGACTGCCGGTTTGGGTTTGAAACCACCAGATGCTCTGATGGAGAAAAATGAGGCTTTTTAGTCTCTTGAAGAGTTACAGTGCCAGAAACCCACGGGGCAGTTCCACCCTGCCTGCAGGGTCACCATAAGTCAGAACTGACTCGAGGGCAGTGAGTTTGGTTTTATTTGTATGTGTGTGTGTCGGTTGGCCTTGAACCCCTGGCTGAGAGAGTGTCTGTCAGACTTCTCCAGAGTCACTTTTTATCACTACTCTTTGGGAGGAAGTGACATTTAAGGAGTGGGGAGT